ATAGTTTCCGGGCATACTGATCCCTATAGTCGGCATACTGAAACACTATAGGCGGGCATACTGATCCCTATAGTCGGCGGGCATACTGAAACATAGTATACTGGCTATAGGGCATACTGATCACTATAGTCGGCATACTGAAACACTATAGGCGGGCATACTGATCCCTATAGTCGGCATACTGAAACACTATAGGCGGGCATACTGATCCTATAGTCGGCATACTGAAACACTATAGGTGGGCATACTGATCCCTATAGTCGGCATACTGAAACACTATAGGCGGGCATACTGATCCTATAGAAACACTATAGGCGGGCATACTGATCACTATAGTCGGCATACTGAAACACTATAGGCGGGCATACTGATCCCTATAGTCGGCATACTGAAACACTATAGGCGGGCATACTGATCCCTATAGTCGGCATACTGAAACACTATAGGCGGGCATACTGATCCCTATAGTCGGCATACTGAAACACTATAGGCGGGCATACTGATCACTATAGTCGGCATACTGAAACACTATAGGCGGGCATACTGATCCCTATAGTCGGCATACTGAAACACTATAGGCGGGCATACTGATCCCTATAGTCGGCATACTGAAACACTATAGGCGGGCATACTGATCACTATAGTCGGCATACTGAAACACTATAGGCGGGCATACTGATCCCTATAGTCGGCATACTGAAACACTATAGGTGGGCATACTGATCACTATAGTCGCATACTGAAACACTATAGGCGGGCATACATACTATAGTCGGCATACTGAAACACTATAGGCGGGCATACTGATCCCTATAGTCGGCATACTGAAACACTATAGGCGGGCATACTGATCCCTATAGTCGGCATACTGAAACACTATAGGCGGGCATACTGATCCCTATAGTCGGCATACTGAAACACTATAGGCGGGCATACTGATCACTATAGTCGGCATACTGAAACACTATAGGCGGGCATACTGATCCCTATAGTCGGCATACTGAAACACTATAGGCGGGCATACTGATCCCTATAGTCGGCATAAACACTATAGGTAAGCATACTGATCCCTATAGGCATACTGAAACATATAGGTGATCCGATCACTATAGTCGGCATACTGAAACACTATAGTTTCATACTGAAACACTATAGGCGGGCATACTGATCACTATAGTCGGCATACTGAAACACTATAGGCGGGCATACTGATCCCTATAGTCGGCATACTGAAACACTATAGGCGGGCATACTGATCACTATAGTCGGCATACTGAAACACTGAAACACTATAGGCATACTGAAACACTACTGATCTGATCTATAGTCGGCATACTGAAACACTATAGGCGGGCATACTGATCACTATAGTCGGCATACTGAAACACTATAGGCGGGCATACTGATCACTATAGTCGGCATACTGAAACACTATAGGCGGGCATACTGATCCCTATAGTCGGCATACTGAAACACTATAGGCGGGCATACTGATCACTATAGGCTCCGATCATACTGAAACACTATAGGCGGGCATACTGAAACACTATAGTCGGCATACTGGCACTATAGGCGATCCCTATAGTCGGCATACTGAAACACTATAGTCGGCATACTGATCACTATAGTCGGCATACTGAAACACTATAGTCGGGCATACTGATCCCTATAGTCGGCATACTGATCCCTATAGTCGGCATACTGAAACACTATAGGCGGGCATACTGATCACTATAGTCGGCATACTGAAACACTATAGGCGGGCATACTGATCACTATAGTCGGCATACTGAAACACTATAGGCGGGCATACTGATCCCTATAGTCGGCATACTGAAACACTATAGTCGACCATACTGATCCCTATAGGCGGGCATACTGATCCCTATAGTCGGCATACTGAAACACTACAGCCGATCATACTGAATCACTATAGCCGATCATACTGAATCACTATAGCCGATCATACTGAAACACTATAACCGATCATACTGAAACACTATAGCCGATCATACTGAATCACTATAGCCGATCATACTGATCACTATAACCGGGACTCCCATTCTCATGCACAAGTTCCTCACCTCCTTTAGGCTGACTGTAAGTTGACATGCAACTCTTTATCATATATAATGTCATTACCATTACCAAAATATGAAGTTACTTCCTCAGATTGCTGACGAAATAAGTGACTATAAACTGAGGTACAAAGGAAAGCTCACTCCTTTTTCTTTGAGATTATTAAAAACACAAGTATGACTTACAAGCCAGAAACACTATGACCGTGTTGCCAAAACACCACAGACAGTGTACCCAACTGCAACGTTGGCAGCGCCTCCCGTTCCTCGCCCAACGCAGACGAGTTAATCGACGTCGACGGGTTGATGGCATGCCCGAAATGGCCTCGTCGACGTGTTCCTGTTGATGCGGAGTTAATGATCTAACGCTTCTGATACTGACGACGTCACTGTGTGTATCTGACATGGTCTTGTTTTCTGACCATGGAATTGGATCACATTAGCTCTTTTTACGGACATATTTTCCTTCTGGAGATATGAAGCAATCAGCAGTGACGGTTTGCTAAGCCATTGCACATACAGTTCTCGAGTGGTGTTGAACCGCTCCAGCTGAACAGTTCACCAGAAGAGTAGGAGACCCTGCAGATAGATCAAATGGATCAATGTAGGAACATCTTTGTTAACATCTGTATTCCACCTCTTCTGCGTGGTACTGACGCAGCTTGTTTGTGTCAGTCTTGCCAACATGACAGATGACATCTTGGAACTTTGTGAACTACTTTACAGTCATGGGACGAACCAGAAAACATATTGCAAGAGCGGAACCTTTAAGTGTCAAGCCAATCATCCCTCCTGCTCCTTTCAGTGTCTTGTTTTCGGTCGTCTGCAGAGTACATTCCACCCAGACCGCATTCAACATCACAGCATCACCAACTTTCAGGAAACGTTGTGCTTTGGGCTCCTCACAACGTTATATATATAACAACGTTTCTTATAACTTGGTGTCACGATAGTTTTCTATAAAAAAATTAACTTTGACATTCTTTCTTCACTATTCAGCTACAGCTTCAGAAAACACACGACCAAAATAACATGCAAACTGACGAATAAAACTGATGAAGTGAACTTCTGATTTGTTTGATATGTACTTCTCACTACTGGGAAAACTAGTCAACCATTAACGTTAAATAGAACGTAAGACATCGTAAAATACGTTCGTTAGCATCAAATAACTTTAACCTTGTTGCGACGTAAAAATGACGCATTACACAGTTGTGACAGCGTAAATGGGATAACTTCTTTGAGAGGCATTTAGAAGTTGGGGCAGTAAGGAAGGATAACAATATATGGATGAACAACTTCTGTATTGCTGTGAGAGCGACGTTTCGGTGTAGGTTCTAACACCGTTATCAAGCAAGTGAAGAACAGCATAAGGATGAAGGAGCATATATACAAGTTAGAGTAGATGTTTGTACAGTGCAATAGGGATTAGGAAGGCAGACACAATAACAACACAAGGGGGAAGCCAGACACAATAACAACACAAGGGCTTAGGAAGCCAGACACAATAACAACACAAGGGCTTAGGAAGCCAGGCACAATAACAACACAAGGGCTTTGAGATCGGTGATGAGGGTCTTTAATGAGTTGGTAGTGTGCAGGAGGTAATAACCTTGGTCACGGTTGATTGAAGGCTGGAGTCTTTTTATGTAGATGGCTTCTTGGAGTTTTCTGAGTTTAAAATCTTTGCGTAAATGGAAGTCCACGGAATAACGTTGTAACAACGAAAGTAAAAACGTTGTGACAACGTGAAATTGTTAGCTGGGTATTGCGTTAACGTTCCATAGTACTCAGTTGAAAGTTGCCATTGTGATATAATTCTTCTAATGGATTAACTTGATAACTGTTCTCATTTGAGTCTTATACTTGTTTTTTTAAATATTTTATTTGGTGTACTTCAGATATAATACAAAAAGTATAATTTGGACAAAGTTTCCCCTGTACAATCTATCTCAAATATATTTGCCCATCAGCCAGAATTATGAGACTTACAGAAACTAAAGTACTGTCGGAAATTAAAAAACTTTTTTTTCGCATTTATATCTACAATATATGTAGTTAATATGTGAAAATGTGAAATATCTGTTAAACTAAGTTCGGTCTAACTACGGTCTCATTGGTAGTGAGATAGGAAACGTAGAAAAAGGACTTTACTCAGGAGAGATTAGTGCAGAAATGAGCAATGCAGTTTTTTTGTAAGTCGAAAGCGACTTATTTGGAACAGATCATGCCTTTATTCAAATTAGTGTGCGACGATATTGTATTACAAAGGAACTTTATAATTGCCCATTTTGAAATTAAAAGTAGCTTCATTATAAACGATAGCTGACGTAAAAAATAATAACTTTAAGACTGAAACTATTAAGGATGAAGCTACCCTGGAGTCTCACTATCACTATAAAAAGAAACAGGTAGGAGAGGGTCGTCTCACAAGCAAAACCAGGACGGTTGTCGCAGACGGTGGTGGGGGTCGGGCTAGGGGATAGAGATATCCGCTAAGGTGAGATATTCCTTTAGATGAATTATACTGGGGAAGTAAACGGTATGTCATAATAATTTACAAAGAATATCCAGTCCTGTCGATCTTCGGGTGGTCATGTCACCTATATATATTTTTAGACATTTAAGTCGCTGCCACAAGTCCAGAGTGCTAGAAATTGTGATAAGAATTACAATAAATGAGAATGAAGAACATTGTTCGGATAATTTTGTATTTGTTAAGTTTTCTTTTTTAGTCTTTTTCCCCGACCGACCGACCCATGTTCAGAATTTGGTGGCTACATGAAACACATTAAAAAAATGATGCCCTAACTGTAAACAGAGACCATAAGCTGTAAACGAGTAGCACGATAAACCTATTTTTAGCGGGTATCATTCAAGCATAAAAACATGGCAGTTTTCTCCCCGGATATAGAGGGCGCTGTTCTGTGTTTGTGTATGGGTTATCGATAGAAAACGTTACACTATGTACAGTTATTTACTGTATGTCTAAATTAAACAAACAATGATATGCAAACTGATTTTTAGACCAACCGTGACATATTCAAACCACAGCAATGTTCAGAAGTAAGTATATATTGATAAATTCAAATTCATCGTTCGTATTTGACAGCCGCGTAATTCACCTGCATTCCTTGCATATTTTACTCATCGCTTTTGACAGTCGGTATATTTTCGATGCTTGTCTTATTTTCAGTAATTAAATGCAAATTTCTTTGAAAGAAGTGAGTGGAAATGTAATACTGACTTAAATATAGAAACTACGTGAGACGACAGACTCTGTCAAGTGCACACGTGTGTTCGTATTGAGGGTTTTAGTCAACTGGATACTTCACGTTTCTATGTTATTTTAAAATATCCAGACCTCAAAGAATATGTTATTGTAGAATAAAATAATAATCTAGACTTGTGAAGAACATTTTTATTCAGTATTTACATATAGTCTTCCCATACTTCTGTGCTGCTCCTTATAGTATTTATAAGCGATTTGGGTATTTACATTTTGCTCCACAGAGCTATAGGCTGTACCACAGTGTTTTCGTTATAATGCAGATGTGCATCATGTCATCTGAATGCATGTGCTCTGGTGTAACATAAAATGCAACATGATCCCTGAAACTTTATATTTAGTCAGTGACCACAATGGACAAAGACCCCTTTATGCTTTTCAGATATTTTGAATCACTGTATTAGACATCCACAATTCAGCAATGTATACATTTTTACATACCTACTGTTTATAGGGTGCAGGCTAAAACGTCACCACAGCAAAACGGCACCAGGCGAAAACGGCACCAATTAGACATAACTGAACCTCGACTTGGCGAAAACGGCTACAAATCTTATGGTGAAAACGGCACCAAATAAAATCTTATTTGTCATTAGATAATCTGAATACAGAATTTTGGGAATGCGTCTACTCTGCCGACAGTGATTGGAAAGTTTGTGTTAGCTGATAATCAGATTCCAGTATGTTTAGATAATGAATGAGTCTGACTGACTATGGCCGATAATCGGCTTGTAGAATGTTTCGATAGTCAAAACATCTACTGTGCCGACAGTGATTGGAAAAGCCTGTCAATTTAGCGTGAAAACATCACAACCTTTGATGTTTTAAGTACATTTACTCAACTCAAATCGCCCAAACCATGGTAGACAGCACCCTCCTCGACCCCCCTACTGCTGATATCCCGAAAAACGAGTTCACAATCGTGGAGATTGGTTCTCAGAAAGGAAAGAAGAAGCTGGTCGATTCATATGGATTCACATATGTCATTCGGGGTTTTTTATATGTTGATTCTAATGTTATAATTAAACGAACTAAAACATAAAAGTCAACATCATACTGTGTTTTGTATATGGTGCCGTTTTAGCTCAGAAATCAGTAGCCGTTTTTGCCAATACGGTGCCATTTTCGCCAAACGATTTTGGTGCCGTTCTGCTGTGGTGCCGTTTTAGCTATAACCCCTGTTTATACTTACTTGTTTTCAAAGACATTGTGTTGTACATTCAGATATTAGTGCCAAACTAATCTCAACATAACTGATTCGACAGAATTTGATTTTTGTATTGGTACTAGCTTATGCAGGATTGGGAGGAAGTCCATTTGCTGCTGATACAAAATGATGAATTCCCATTTAGGAGATAGGTATTGACTGTTTCTATAAACAGAAATTGAACAATGTTATGAAGAACAGTTTTGAAAAAAGACACGGTTTAGCATCACTCGTGAGAGCATTGAGGTTTGTTTCCATTAGTACTTGTATTTAATATGTGTTTGTAAGTTGCAGTCCTTACATATTTTACTATTTGACATACATAAAATTTGTATGTATTGCATCTAGAGCACGGAGATGATATCTAAAAACTTTTAATGGCATATTTGAGTATCAACATCTCTTGGGAAAGGTTAACCTCATCTTGATTAGAACAAGTACTTTTTTGTCTTTCTTTCACTTTATTGGCACAGAATCTCACAAGAGAAAACACTTCTCAATATCTGCAGAGGAGGAGTTGTGCCACCTACGTAGCCTACCAAAAGAGGCCTTCTTCTATACCCAGCAGCGACAGTATGGCCTGGGGAAACGTGTGCCACAAAGCATCTTCTCTGACTACTTGGCAGAACAGATACCGTGCTTACTCCAAGAGAGAGAATACAAACTTGGTTCAATTAACAAGATATTTGCAGCCAAGTGGTTGAGTGACAAGCAGGTTGTCTTTGGCACAAAGTGCAACCAGGTTCGTTTGTGATGAAGAGAAGGTGTCATCAGAAGATGATGTGTTGTGATGTATAGTCTGTTTGGGTTAAAATGATACCAATGAATCACATTCTAACTCCATATGGGTTCATGATCAAAATTCATGTCAACACAGAATGTAATGAAATCATCAGGCCAACTCTGGAAAAAAGTTTCACAACATTTATCTCCAAATAGAAAAGTTACTTAACAAACTATCATCATTTTGTTTTGATTTTCCATGTGAAGTTTTATGAGGGTAAAGTTACAGTAGTAATGTTGCAGGAACAGCCTCGGATGCATGTTGTCTATTAACTGTTATTAACTTGATGTAATTGTAGGACTGAGAAACTAATTGTACTGAAGTATTAGGCTGTGCTTTATATGCACTTAATGTTAAAAAATGTGATGATTATGTAAGATATAATCTTTTACAACCTTCCTCCTCCTGCTTTTAATTTTCTATTGCAGAATGTAATAAGCTTTGCAGATACCATTGTCTTTTTCCAGGACCTACAGACATAGGTCATTCTGATAGAGAAAGTCGACATGATGGCCGCAAGCTTGATTAAATAAACAATTACACTTTGATAAATGTGTTGTTAGTTTGTACTTTATTTCTAAAACCAATATGTAAAAATAAGGTTTCTACCTACCGGTACCTACCCTAAATTTTAAGAGGTGTAATCGGAACCACAACATTTTTTTATTTGGCCAAAGTGAAATTTCTGGATTTTTGTCAATGAAACCATAATTATCAAATAGGAAAGAAATATTTTGATCAGGTTCATGCCCTGCACACCTTGACTTCTTGGGGCTGTTAGCCACATTGCATTTGATGAAATGTGTGTATTTACTATGATGTTCAAGTACTTGGTACTCATGTGTATCTTTTGCACCCATAATCGTTCATTTTGTCAGTTCCTTGACATGCTGTCTTGGAAACATTTATAAGCATTCTTTAGCTCATTGTCATTTGTGATAGTGAGTTCCTGTTCGCACATACTCTTGCTGTTAGGTGCTCATGAATCTCATGCTACTTATGTATATGATATATATTTTGATCAGATTTTATGTTCATTTTCGTCACCACAGTCTTGAAAATGTCCACCTAATAGATCAGTTCATGCAAATCATTAGTTCCCTGACTTTTTGTTGGTAGGTCAATATATGGTAATATGTTATCGTACTCAGTGCTTAAAGAGAATTGGAAACAACATTATCCGGAACACTCCTGTCGTCACATTTTGCATTTGTAAGATTACATGTATATGAAATTTGGTTAAAGTATATGAGCAGACTTCGATTATGTGTTGATTCATTCATGCCTAGTTACCAAGGTCACACAACAGAGTAACTTCTGGATGTTTATTTCAGCTGGGACACAAAGACTGGGTGTTTGATCTGGTATGGATTGACGATGAGTTTGTGTTGTCAGGTATGTTTGAAGAGAAAAACAAAGTAGTGTCTGTCAGTTAATGTCAATGTCAGTTACACTGTAAAGAAGTGTTCCAACATATCCCCTGTGAAGTGTGTTCCAACATATCCCCTGTAAAGAAGTGTTCCAACATATCCCCTGTAAAGTGTGTTCCAACATATCCCTGTGAAGTGTGTTCCAACATATCCTCTGTAAAGAAGTGTTCCAACATATCCCCTGTAAAGTGTGTTCCAACATATCCTCTGTAAAGAAGTGTTCCAACATATCCCCTGTGAAGTGTGTTCCAACATATCCTCTGTAAAGTGTGTTCCAACATATCCTCTGTAAAGAAGTGTTCCAACATATCCCCTGTAAAGTGTTCCAACATATCCTCTGTAAAGAAGTGTTGCAACATATCCCCTGTAAAGTGTGTTCCAACATATCCTCTGTAAAGAAGTGTTCCAACATATCCCCTGTAAAGTGTGTTCCAACATATCCTCTGTAAAGAAGTGTTCCAACATATCCCCTGTGAAGTGTGTTCCAACATATCCTCTGTAAAGTGTGTTCCAACATATCCCCTGTAAAGTGTGTTCCAACATATCCTCTGTAAAGTGTGTTCCAACATATCCTGTGAAGTGTGTTCCAACATATCCTCTGTAAAGAAGTGTTCCAACATATCCCCTGTGAAGTGTGTTCCAACATGTCCTGTGTGTGTGTGTTCCAACATATCCCTGTAAAGTGTGTGTTCCAACATATCCCTGTGTAAAGAAGTGTGTTCCAACATATCCCTGTGAAGTGTTCCAACATATCCTCTGTAAGTGTGTTCCAACATATCCTCTGTAAAGAAGTGTTCCAACATATCCCTGTGAAGTGTGTTCCAACATATCCCCTGTAAGTGTGTTCCAACATATCCCCTGTAAAGAAGTGTTCCAACATATCCCCTGTGAAGTGTGTTGCAACATATCCCCTGTGAAGTGTGCCAACATATCCTCTGTAAAGAAGTGTTCCAACATATCCTCTGTAAAGAAGTGTTCCCAACATATCCCTGTGAGAAGTGTGTTCCAACATATTCCCTGTGAAGTCCCCCCTATCATGTTCCAACATCTTCCCTGGTGTGAAGTGTGTTCCAACATATTCCCTGGTCAGTGTGTCCCAACATATTCCCTGGTTAACATGTCCCAACATATTCCCTGGTTAACATGTCCCAACATATTCCCTGGTTAACATGTCCCAACATATTCCCTGGTTAACATGTCCCAACACATTCCCTGGTCAACATGTCCCAACATATTCCCTGGTTAACATGTCCCAATACATTCCCTGGTTATTCCCTGGTTAACATGTCCCAACATATTCCCTGGTCATCATGTCCCAACATATTCCCTGGTTAACATGTCCCAACATATTCCCTGGTTAACATGTCCCAACATATTCCCTGGTCATCATGTCCCAACATATTCCCTGGTCAATCATGTCCCAACATATTCCCTGGTTAACATGTCCCAACATATTCCCTGGTCACCATGTCCCAACACATTCCCTGGTCATCATATCCCAACATATTCCCTGGTTAACATGTCCCAACATATTCCCTGGTCAACATGTCCGAACACATGTCCCAACATATTCCCTGTGTAATGTGTGTCAACGTGTCCCGAATGCCAAATGTTCCAGCATACCCCCATGTGCAGTGTTTCCAACATATTCCCCATGCAATGTTCTCACATATCCTCTCTACAACATGTTCCAACTTATTCCATGTGCAGCATGACCCATATATTTTATCATCCATAATGTGTTTCTTAATGAGAAGTTGTGGAGTTGTGTTGTGGAATTAGTGTACAATATCAGGCCTTGTTTGCTTAATGGATGTTACCAAACTAGAAGCCAGGTCAAGTTAGCAGTCACCCCTGGTCAGTTCCTGAAGCATCTGTTGCATCATGTGCCAAGGAACTTATGGGTCTCAGATCATATAATTGAAGCCTCGGACAGCTCTGGAGTCCTAGTCTGAACCAGTAATTTGACTTTATTTTCTGTGGATCGTAATGTTATGAATCTTGACTGGTGACCAAGTCTGACAGTGATGCACACACCACTGCTTGGAATATATATGGAGTTATCTCCCTTACACTGTAGGCATTTCAGAGAAAATGAATACAAAATTGTTTGTCTTTATTAATGGTATCGTATCTTTTGTTTTGAATCGTAGTGTAAGGTATGGCTTTGCTGAGAATCCTCGTGTAAGGCATGGCCTTGTTACGAATCCTAGTGTAAGGCATGGCTTTGTTATGAATCCTAGTGTAAGGCATGGCTTTGTTATGAATCCTAGTGTAAGGCATGGCTTTGTTATGAATCCTAGTGTAAGGCATGGCTTTGTTATGAATCCTAGTGTAAGGCATGGCTTTGTTATGAATCCTAGTGTAAGGCATGGCTTTACTGTGAACCCTATTCTTCATCATGGTGTCATATCTTTTTTTTGAATCGTAGTGTTAGGTATGATCTGATGTGTTTCGTTATGAATCATTTTTGTTATTGTGTTACTTTGCTGGCATGGATCTTGTACCATGTATAGTTATCTCTCATACCTTATCGATCATGGTGCTTGACAACATGAAAACAGTAAATGTAATGACAATACCGGTTGATGTATTCCAGGATCTCGAGACAACAATCTCGCCCTGTGGAAGATTGATAACTGTGATGATGATCGATCTTCTCACATCAACAACCTGTTCATTCCGGAGTACAGTGTCAAACACCCTGTCACAGTGCAGCATTGTCAGAAGGCGGAGAAAGTCAGAGCTCTTGCGTTTCACAAGGAACGGAAGGTGAACAGTTTACTCTATATCCATGAACTTATGCAGAAAGGTGTTAGTACCTGTTTGGCAGTCTTGAAACAGACTTGACTTGGTATAAAAAAATCACAAGTTATCTACTGCTTGTTGCTGCATATCTACTTCTGTTAAGTGTAAAACTACTCAAAAACCATAAAGATATAACATCAGTCAAACATTGATTGTTAAAGATTAACATGTTGATGAAAATGTAGCCTCAATTCATACTTGACTGTTTATTGTCATTTGGCTAAAATCTTGTAAATGTCATGTTTTTAAACTTTTGTGGAAATTGTTGAGTGGAAATGACCTGGAATAATTTTCCTTAAACAGTTTGTCTGAACACACCCCATTATTTTTTCTCTCGGGAACCTCCTGTAGGGCATGTGACCTGTTCCTGGTTGATCATGTGACTGCCATTCTGTAGTCTTCTGTTATCTTGCTGCACAAGGGTGCTGACATCCTAAGAAATTTATTTCTATATAATAAAGGAGATCTCAGCGGTTACCCTTTAGGTTTTTGGTATTTTTATGAAGTTTCTAAGATCTATTAGCATGGGAAAGGACTATGTCAGAGGAATGAAATGTAAAGTTTGTTTCAACTGCTTAAAGACATTCTCAATCCTTAATACATCGTGTATAGATTGTCTGGGAATATGCAGGTGCATTTTCATTGTTCATGGGAAACCAAGAGAGCGCTGTCCCACTGATACCAACTTCAGTGTCCAGAAGCTTGTAATGATCAGCCGTATCAAATGCTGCACTGAGATCTAAAAGAGTCAGCGTTGCCATGTCACCAGAATCTACTAGACACTGGAGATCATTTTACAACTCTCAGGAGCAAGGTCTCTGTTGAAAGATGCGGATGATAAGCAGACTAATAGTCATCCATGGGGGATGATATACTTCATCAGTTGTCTGGTAACAGCTTTCTCCATCAGTTTTGAAAGAATTCAAGTTTGAAATGGGTCATTAAAGTACTGTCGGAAATAGAAAAAAACTGTATTTAGGCTATTACCGCATATTACCGTCTATAAGCCGACCCCATTGATAAGACGACCCCCAAACTTGACCCTTAAAATCGTGCATAAGTCGATCCCCCGCGATGGGGTCCTAATCGCGGCAAACACAGACCACAGACAACTGGCAGTTACCAATAATTATAACTTTGGCCACATTATTCAAAGAATTCACAATCATATATATTGCGTCTAATCACGGATCGAAACAAAGTGTAGTTGACAGAAAATACATAATATATTTTATTTCTCTAAATATCATATTTATTGTAGCAACAAACTGGCTTGCTTATTTTACCCCATTCAACAATCACAAACTGATTACCACCTCGTTTTCCATTGACTGCTAGTTTACAGTAACATCGGTAAAAATGTGTGAATTTAAATGGCTTCCGTATTTTACCCCATTCCATGTGCGTATAACTTCTGCTTACCACATTCATGAGGGTCCGTATAACCTTCGCGTTGATTATATATATTTTACATAAAAACTAATTAAAATTACACAATGCTAGGTTATATTTCTTTGCGTTAAATAATAGTACTCTGTATTATATTTTACTGACGACTGCGTCAGAATTCGTCCCGTTAATTTATAAACTTATCCTATCTCACGGTATGCACCATCTCTCTCTTCTACGACCATGTGTGGAAACGTGCTGTCAGCTAAGTTGAGTCAAATCTAACTGGCCTCTGACCAGTCCTGACCTCTGTCCTCACCCCGACATCAACGCCTGTCAATCATCCACGAAAGCATGCAGCTTGCCCAAATGATCACATGACCACCTCTACCTGTCATTTCTCTTTCTTGTCGCCACGTTGTGTGGATGTGTGTTTGTCTATAAGAGAGTTTGATTGTGTTTCTACAATGGGAAAATCGAATTGTTATGGTTCTAATAAACGCAAACATTGCGATAACTGCAACAGTAATTTCTTGGCGGCAGACCCACATAACCTATGTGTTGACTGTTTAGGCCGGTGTGAATGGTCTAGACGTTGCACTTTGTGTGCAAACCGTGACGACGATGCGTTTTCCGAATATCGCCTGGTAGCTTGTAGACGCAAGTTTGACAGAGATTGTCGGAATCCATCTGAGGGTCTGAGTAGTAAACATCCTAAGTTAGATCGCCGTTTGATATCTGCAGTACGACGTTCGAAGTCGAAGTCTCCTAATGAAGATTTCCTTTAGAGGCGTCTGATTCCTACCTCAGTGAAAATCTACGTCAACTCTTCCGTCCGCATTCTTATAGCCTCATTACTCTAGAAGATTCTTCACCACCACGAGTTGTTGTGTTATCTACATCTGGTATTCATCCCGGCCGTCTTTGGTGGTGAATGTTCCTCGACGCCTTTACGTTTCGGAGGTGGGGACTACTCATGCGGCGCTTATTGTGATTCCTAACATTACATCACAAGTGACGTTACTTCCAGTTCGACGCTTACATCAGGAGTTACCTACGTTTAGAGCGCCGCTTGTCACTGATTCCACGTGTTTGCTCAGAGCGCCGCTTACTTCCAGTTCAGCGCTTTCTACCAGTGCGCGCCTTACTTTTGAAGCGACGGATACTTTTGAAGCGACGCTTACATCAGGACAGTTATCTACGATTAGAGCGCCGATTGTCATGGATCCCATATGTTTGGTCAGAGCTCCGCTTACTTCCAGTTTGGCGCTCTTGTTTAGTTCCAGTTCGCCGCTTGTACCTGGTTCGCGCTACATCAGGACAGTTATCTGGATTCAAAGCTTCCTCCCATATGTTTGGTCAGGTTCGGCTTTACTTCCAGTTCGGCGCTTTGTTTGGTTCCAGTTCGACGTTTGTGCCTGGTTTGGCGCTTCCTCCCAGTGTTCCTGGTTCAACGCTTCCTCCCAGTGTTCCTGGTTCGGCGCTTCTCCTCCCGGTTCGGGCCTTCCTTCCGGTTCTTCTCCCAGTGTTCCTGGTTCGGCTTCTCCCAGTGTTCCTGGTTCGGCTTCTCCCAGTGTTCCTGGTTCGGCGCTTCTCCCAGTGTTCCTGGTTCGGCGCTTCCCAGTGTTCCTGGTTCGGCGCTTACTCCCGGTTCGGCACTTCCTCCCAGTGTTCCTAGTTTGACTGAATTTCACATTGTCAATTCACAACTGATGTTACCCTTTGTAATTCATTGACAAAAACAGCATAGTTTACATGCTATAATTTGTATAAAAATGAAAATGGATTCCTTCACTATCCAACCTCATTTTGAGATTGTAATCAGAACATTAATGTCCTATTTTCAGATTTCTTAGAGAAAGTGTGATTCCTACAGTCAGTGAAAATCACTGTCAAACACTTTAACTCACCCAGTATATTTTTATAGCCTGGCAATACAGTAGAAGATTCTTCACCACCACGTTTGTTGTGTTATCTACGCCTGGTATTCATCCCGGCCGCCTTTGGTGGTGAATGTTCCTCAGCTTTACGCTCGGAGGTGGGGACTACTCATGCGCGGCTTATTGTGATTCCTAACATTACATCACAAGCTGACGCTACTTCCAGTTCGGTGCACATCAGGAGTTACATTGCCCTCAGTATATTGAGGCACCTGCAGCACTAGAACCTCCACCATGCTTACTGTGTGGGTGGAGCACCCAACACTTCCGACATTGCCCTCAGTATATTGAGGCCCCTGCAGCACTAGAACCTCCACCATGCTTACTGTGTGGGTGGAGCACCCAACACTTCCGACATTGCCCTCAGTATATTGAGGCCCCTGCAGCACTAGAACCCCCACCATGCTTACTGTGTGGGTGGAGCACCCAACACTTCCGACATTGCCCTCAGTATAATGAGGCCCCTGCAGCACTAGAACCCCACCATGCTTACTGTGTGGGTGGAGCACCCAACACTTCCCGACATTGCCCTCAGTATAATGAGGCCCCTGCAGCACTAGAACCCCCACCATGCTTACTGTGTGGGTGGAGCACCCAACACTTCCGACATTGCCCTCAGTATATTGAGGCCCCTGCAGCACTAGAACCCCCACCATGCTTACTGTGTGGGTGGAGCACCCAACACTTCCGACATTGCCCTCAGTATATTGAGGCCCCTGCAGCACTAAAACCTCCACCATGCTTACTGTGTGGGTGGAGCACCCAACACTTCCGACATTGCCCTCAGTATATTGAGGCCCCTGCAGCACTAGAACCCTCCACCATGCTTACTGTGTGGGTGGAGCACCCAACACTTCAGACATTGCCCTCAGTATATTGAGGCCCCTGCAGCACTAAAACCTCCACCATGCTTACTGTGTGGGTGGAGCACCCAACACTTCTCTACATTGCCCTCAGTATATTGAGGCCCCTGCAGCACTAGAACCTCCACCATGCTTACTGTGTGGGTGGAGCACCCAACACTTCCTGGACATTGCCCTCAGTATTGAGGCACCTGCAGCACTAGAACCCCCACCATGCTTACTGTGTGGGTGGAGCACCCAACACTTCCAGACATTGCCCTCAGTATACTGAGGCACCTGCAGCACTAGAACCCCCACCATGCTTACTGTGTGGGTGGAGCACCCAACACTTCCGACATTGCCCTCAGTATACTGAGGCCCCTGCAGCACTAGAACCCCACCATGCTTACTGTGTTGGGTGGAGCACCCAACACTTCCGACATTGCCCTCAGTATACTGAGGCACCTGCAGCACTAGAACCCCCACCATGCTTACTGTGTGGGTGGAGCACCCAACACTTCCGACATTGCCCTCAGTATACTGAGGCCCCTGCAGCACTAGAACCCCCACCATGCTTACTGTGTGGGTGGAGCACCCAACACTTCCAGACATTGCCCTCAGTATATTGAGGCCCTTGCAGCACTAGAACCCCCACCATGCTTACTGTGTGGGTGGAGCACCCAACACTTCAGACATTGCCCTCAGTATATTGAGGCACCTGCAGCACTAGAACCTCCACCATGCTTACTGTGTGGGTGGAGCACCCAACACTTCAGACATTGCCCTCAGTATA